CAATACAGACTCAAGAGTGAGCACTAATATTTACGAGAAACAACACCACACGCCATCAATGTAATGAAGCTGACATTAAATAAATTGTAAATTTAATGAAGCTGTATTTTGATAACAAACAAAATCCCCCTCAAAATTACACAATATTTTTATTAACACTGCCCCCAGGAGTGGCATTACAGACTCCAGAGACAGTTCGATAACGCTCCTTTCTGTACAGCTTTAGGATGCATACCCTTTTTAGTCACTTCTTCCTATAAATAAGGTTTTGTAGCCCTGATCAGATAGTCCCAATATGCCAAGATTTTGGGTTCGATCCCTGGTCTGGGCACACACAAGAAACAATCAATGAATGCATCAATAAGTCAAAGAACAAATCAATCACTCTCTCTCTCTCCCCCTTGTTCTCGCTCTCTCACTCTCTCTCTCTCTCTCTCTCTCAAAATCAATTTAAAATTATTTTTTAAATAATTTTGTAATATTTTCTGTTGAGAGAATAAAAGTTAATTTTTTAGCTTACTTGATTAAAATTTGAGGTTCTCTTCAACATTAATAGTTGAGTCATTCCCAAACCTCCTGGAGCAGAGACACAGCACGCCCCCTGCTTCCTGTTTCCATATTCCTGGCCCACAGAACCTGGGGGCATAAGAAAATGGTTATTATTTAAGCCACTCATTTCTGGGGCAACTAGTTACACAGAAATAGAAATGTTATTATTCTTAGTATTTTTTTTCTGTGCCTTTAAGGATATATTTCTTACTGAAGTGAGTCACTGACTTCTTAGATCAAGAGGAAATGATAGTGTGTCTGAGATTCTGAGATTTTCTTTAAGGAACAGAAAAACAACAGATCAGCAACATTTCTAGACATGATTATCCTGTGTACATAATGAAAACTGCCCCCATCCCCCACTGACAATGCTGGGACATTCACAAGTCCCGGGGGAAGGAAGATAAAGAGAAGCTTGAGAACTGAAACACCGTTCACTAGTTCTACCCAACTAACAAGTCAGGCAAAAATCAGAAAAGATGCAGAATAATATGTGACACCCTGCCCATGAAAAGGATCAATACACGGCCCCCTTCTGCTCTCGCTTGGAGAAAGGGCGGGGGGTTGGGGGGGGGGGGGTGTTCCTTCTGAGCATCGTATCTCCACCAGGTAAAGAGTTGCGCCAATATTAACAGATACTGGAACCAAGTCACCTAAGAGGTCATCAAACATGACGTCTTCTGAAACATGGAGTAGAGCCCGTGATGTGAGAAATACGTTTTCTGGGGAATGGCAGCAGCGTCCGGAGCAACAGCCCTGGGGGCTTCTGCAGGCCAGTCGCACACCTGCACTTTGGTCCGAAATGAGGAGGTTGGTCTTATAAATCCTAGTGGACCGTAAAGTCCTCATCACTGAGCTTTTCATTTTTAAAATATATTTTTTATTGGTTTCAGAGAGGAAGGAAGGAGAGATAGAAACATCAATGATGAGAGAGAATCATTGAGTGGCTGCCTCCTGCACGCCCCCTACTGGGATTGATCCCGAAACCCAGGTATGTGCCCTGACCTAGAATCCAACCGTGACCTCCTGGTTCCTAAGTCGACGCTCAACGCTGAGCCACGCCGGCCAAACTGAATGTTTCGTTTTTAACTGCTGCCTTGGGTAGCAGAAGTCTTCAAGTATTTTTCATGGGGGACAGGATGGGGGTGCTCACACTGAAGCCCCATCCCCACAACACTGCTGTTCCTGAAGTCACAGGAACCACCCTGGTACACTTCAAACATTCTCCTCTTGCCCAGCAAGTTCAGATGGGTTTCTACCACATGCAACCAAGAATCGTCACCAGTATAACTGCCTAATGTCATACCTACATAGCTACGAAGGTAGGCCTACATTTCATAAAAATTGTTTTAAATCTTGTTTACATAATACTTCACAATTTTCCAAATGAAAGGCGCGCCGCCCGCCTCTCCGGGCAGTGCGGGAAGAGGAGTCTGGCCGCTGGGCTCTGGGATCCCTCCGCGGCCGCCGGCCTCCCCGGAGCGGTCCGAGTGTCCGGGCCGGCTGCGTGGTGGCCGGCGGCGGGCCGTGGGGTGGGGCCGGGCGGCGACCGACCCCGGGGGAGGTCATGGGAGCGGAAGGCCTCACCGCCTGGCTCTTCCCTCCCTTCCCCCGTGGTCGGCTCCCCGCTTGCCCGCGCTGGGGCCGGGGGTCCATGCGGCCCTTGGGGCCCGGTCGGGGGGGCCGGGGCCTGCGTGGGCCAGCCGCTGGGCCCCATGGGGGGGGCATTGGCTCCCCAGCCACCCGCCCGCTGCCCCCCGGACCGGGCCCAGTGCAGCAGCGGCGGCAGCGGAGTGGGGCGCGTGCCCTAGCTCGGGGAGGCCGCCATGCTGCAGTGCACCGGCCCCATGGCCGGGCCTGCTCCGAGCGGATGCCGCTCCTCCAGAGCTGGGCCGCTCCACCGGCCGCACCCCGTTTGCTGGGCCTGTGCCGCCCAGACACGCTGGAGTCCATCTGCCCGCAGGCCAGCTGCGGGGCTGTGCGGGAGGGCCATCCTGCCTTGTGGCGAGTTCGAGCGGCAGCAGCAGGAGCCAGGCAAGGACTGCGCCCTCCATCTTGCCTTGGGTCCTCCATTTTGGGACGGTGCCATGTGCTTCCTCATGGGAAGAAGCCGCTACTAGCCACACCCAGGATTTCTCTGGACTAACCAATAATAATCAAGGGAAGTGCACGCCATCACTATGACCGACTCGCGCCTGGCCAATCAGCGGGGCCCACAGTCCCCTCTCCTGCCCTCACTCCACCCCCCTTTAAAACCCCCTGTCCCATCAGGCGTCTCTCTCTCGGCCACTGGAGCTTACCGTTGCATCAGTGAGTGTGGCAGGGGAGCCAAACCTAGGTTTGAAATAAATGACTCTTTGCTTTTGCATTGGACTGACTGGCTCCCTGGGGGGTCTTGGGAACTTTGAATTCTGGGCACAACACCAAACACTCTTATACACATTCTCTCTTTCGGTATGCAAAATAATGGTGTAATACAAGTAAAGCAGTGTCTATTACGTTATTTTATTTTTTTTTTTTTTTTTTTTTTTTTTTTTTTTTTTTTTAAAAATATATTTTATTGATTTTTTACAGAGAGGAAAGGAGAGAGATAGAGAGTTAGAAACATCGATGAGAGAGAAACATCGATCAGCTGCCTCCTGCACATCTCCTACTGGGGATGTGCCCGCAACCCAGGTACATGCCCTTGACCGGAATCGAACCTGGGACCTTTCAGTCCGCAGGCCGACGCTCTATCCACTGAGCCAAACCAGTTTCGGCTATTACGTTATTTTAAAATAACAACTAAAATGTTGTCTTTGTCAAGAAGACAAAGAATCATTTAAATGTTGCCTGAGGCCACACAGCTAGCAAGTGCAAAACCGTGGTTCAGCTCTAGTGCCCAACTCCAAATGCAGTGCCCTCGCCCCACACCCTGCTCTGAGGGTGCCCGCCCGGTGCCCAGGCTCGCTGTACGCGGTGCTACGTACACACATCAAACATTCCGGAGAGAGCCTTCCACCATGTAAATAACTACCTTCTCATTGGCCTGCCTTGTAAATGTGAGTTTATAAAAACAGTATTTCCTTCATGCCAGGTACACTTGGGCTGCAATTATTTTATCGCCTAAAGCTAACAAAGTATTGGTCACACCTTGTGGCAAAAAAACTTGTAAACTCATGTGCTACTGCTACCACCCACTCTCAGTAGGAAGACGGTCCGCAGGCCTTAGGCACTTCACTGAGGGGTGACGACAACAGCAACACTTCTGAAGAATCATCTACGGTTCCAGAGTCTACGCCCCATCGGTAGAGCTCTCGGGGAAGCACACCTCACTCACACGCAGACAATATTGTTAACGTTGTGACACGAAAACCGAAGCTGCTGGTATTTCAGCGCAGACCCACCCCACGATACAGAATTCTTCAGGGCCTGGGCCGACACATGAAGGTGCAGGAGCCTCAAAGACTCAAAAAGCGCCCACCCCATCCCCAAAATGATGTCTGTGGGCGGCCCTTGCCACTGGGTGGACCGGAGGCCTCGGAGGTGCCGGCAGCAGGCGTGGGGACTCCGAGGCCGAGCGGGGACCTGCGGGCCAGGAGGGGCCTTCAGACTCCAGCCCAGGGCACATGCCCGCTGCAGGCTCAGTTCCCAGTCCGCCCCAGGCAGCTAATCAAGGATTCTCCCCCATCCTTGATGTGTCTCTCTCTCCCTCTCCCTTCCTCTCTGAAATCAATAAAAACATATTTTAAAAAGAAAGAAAGAGCTGAAACCGGTTTGGCTCAGTGGAGAGAGCGTAGGCCTGCGGCCTGAAGGGTCCCGGGTTCGATTCCGGCCCAGGGCATGTCCCTGGGTTGCGGGCACATCCCCAGTGGGAGATGTGCAGGAGGCAGCTGATCGATGTTTCTAACTCTCTATCTCTTTCCCTTCCTCTCTGTAAAAAATCAATAAAATATATTAAAAAAAAGAAAGAAAGAAAGAAAGAAAGAAAGAAAGAAAGAAAGAAAGGCGGGGATGCAGCCAAGGCTGCGGAGCGCGGTGGGGAGGCGGGGTGCTGGGAGACCCCCAGGGGCGCCCTGCCGCCCGCAGGTTAACAGAGAGGGGAGCGGGGGCGCCACTGGTGTGCGGGGGACCCTCCCGGACAGCCCGGGTGGCGAGCAGCGGGAGGGCAGCAGGAGAGACAAGCGGGGAGGCCCCCACGGAAGGGAGCGCGAGGGCCGGGCAAACGGCGCCAACACCAGCCCCAAAGCCACCCTGAAGCGGGGCCGGAACCGCGCCCGCATCCGCCAGGGACACCGCAGGGGGCGCCACGCCCACGGTCCCGGCCGCAGAGCTGCTAACGCGCAGGCGCACCTGCCGGGGAGGTGCGGTGGGCGGAGTCAAGAGCCGGAAGTGCGCGGCCCCGGGGCCCTTCCCACGAAACCCGCCCCTGGAAACGCCTGGAGGCCCCGCCCCCTGGCGGAACTCGGGGTTGCTGGGCAACCGGTGCGGGCGCCGCCGGCGGCTCTGTGCTCCCGCTGTAGCCTGCGGAGTGCGGCTCCCACCTCTCGCCCTGGCAACTTCCCTCTCGCCCGCCGCCTGCCCTGCCTCCTCTGCCGGCGTCCTGGCACCCCTGCCCTGGCACCCCCTAAACCTCTGCGGGCCCCACCACGCCGTCGCGCCCACCTGCTGCGACGCCAGGTTCCATTGAATGCGAAGCGCTTCGACCCCCGGCGCGGCCCCTGGGACCATGACCACCTACACCTACACCAGCCGGCCCCGGGCCCCGCCCTGCCGCCTGCGCTACCGGAACGGCCTGACGCAGCAGTGAGTGAGCCCCTGGCCCCGGTGCCTCCGCCTGCCCCCATCCACACCTGCCTCTGCGCTTCCCTACCCGCCACACCCCGAAACGGAGGTGCTGAGAGGGCAGAGGGCCCTGGGTGTCCTCCCGCGGTGAACTGTCAGGGATCGGGAATTGCTGACCCGTTTCACAAAGTTTGACTCAACTGATGGCCAAGCGTGTGTCAAGCACCTTCCTAGAGTCGTTTGCATACATTTTCTTACTGAGTCCACGGGGCTGTGAGGTTGGTTTTATAACTCCATGATGCAACTAAGAAAACAGCTACAACCCTTGGTTGCGGGCACAGCCCCAGTGCGGGGTGTGCAGGAGGCAGCTGATGGATGTTTCTCTCTCACTGATGTTTCTAGCTCTCTATGCCTCTCCCTTCCTCTCTGTAAAAAATCAATAAAATATATTTTTAAAAAGAAAGAAAGGAAACAGGCACAAAAGTGTCACAGTAATAGCATGTCCAAAATGGGAGCCAGGCCAGGCTTTGGTCAAAAATCAGGTGATCCTTTCATGCTGGACCCCAAATGGTATTTTTACATTAATGAGCATTTGCTAATATTCAGATATCTATGTTTTAAAGGGACCATAATCGTTATGGTTCTCTTGAAGTTCTTTGCATGAGCATCTACTTTTGGAATCATCAGAACTTCCCAAGAATGAAGATTCTGTGGAAGCAGGAACCATGTCTGTCGTCTCACCCAGACCATGCCGGGCACAATAAGCTCTCAATACAAACTGCTGCATTAATGATCCGGCATCAGCACTATAACTCTTGGTGCTTATTTCAAAAACTGAGTCCAAATTCATAATTATCTTATTCTGACAAAGGCATTTTTAATAAATACTTATCACTTTTAAGAAACCCAAAATAGAAACTTTAAACTTGGAGAGAGATTATTTATATTGATAAAGGATTCTGTTTCAAAAGGCATTTCTTTCAAAAACACTTTCTGGCCCTAACCGGTTTTGCTCAGTGGATAGAGCATCAGCCTACACACTGAAGGGTCCCAGGTTCGATTCCGGTCAAGGGCATATACCTTGTTTGCGGGCACATCCCCAGTAGGGAGTGTGCAGGAGGCAGCCAATCAATGAGTCGCTGTCATCATTAATGTTTCTCTCTCTCTCTCTCTCCCTTCCTCTCTGAAATCAATTTTACAATTTTTTTTTAATTAAAAATAAAGGGTAGGGACCCTGCCTTTCCTTTTAAAAAAATGCACAACAAAAAACACTTTCTGGTGCCTTTAAGTGGTTGCTTATAAGTCATTACTATGAAATCTGACCAACAGAGGAAATAAGAATCATTGGTGATTCATTCGGAATGATTTTTTTAAAATATATTTCATTGATTTTTTACAGAGAGGAAGGGAGAGGGATAGAGAGTTAGAAACATTGATGAGAGAGAAACATCGACCAGCTGCCTCCTGCACACCCCCTACTGGGGATGTGCCCTCAACCAAGGTACATGCCCTTGACCGGAATCAAACCTGGGACCTTTCAGTCCGCAGGCCAACACTCTATCCACTGAGCCAAACCAGTTAGGGCAGTATTTGCTTCTTGAAACAAAGGAAAAATACAAAATAAGGATGAATAAAAGCAATGTTCGTTATCTCTTACTCACCTCTACTCCCACTTCCATGTTGTAAACAGATTTAACAATCTTATATTACTATTCTACACCTCCTTGCTGGTACACACATATATATGAGCATATGTACATTTAATTAGAAGTTTTAGTTCCAAAATAGAATCATACAACACATATTACTCTGCAGTTGATCTTTTCCACTTTTTTACAAGCTCTAATTTCTTTTTTTGTTTTTAATTCTCACTGGAGGATGTGTTTTTATTAATTTTAGAGAGAAAGGGAGGAGATTTCAATAAACAACTTTATGTATTGACCTCTTTATTTTTTTTTTTTTAAATATACTTTATTCATTTCAGAGAGGAAGGGAGAGGGAGAGAGAGATAGAAATGTCAATGATGAGATAGAATAATTGACTGGCTGCCTCCTGCACGCCACCTACTGGGGATCAAGCCCGCAACCGGGCATGTGCCCTTGATCAGAATTGAACCTGGGACCCTTCAGTCTGCAGGCCAATGCTCTATCCACTGAGCCAAACCAGCTAGGGCTGGCCTCTTTGTTTTTATGAGCCAGATTTCCAGAGTGGGTTTTTAGGTCGTGTATATTTTTAATATGAATGGATGGAACAATATACCTTTTCTCCAGGAATGTTTAAACATATCCTTTTCCCCAACTCCTCACCAGCAATAGGTGTTATGGATATTTTTTTTCTTTTTGGCTTTTAACAAATACATATTTTTATTGATTTCAGAGAGAGGAAGGGAGAGGGAGAGAGGGATAGAAACATCAATGATGAGAGAGAATCATTGATCGGCTGCCTCCTGCAGGCCCCCTTCTGGGGATCGAGCCCACAAAGGAGGCATGTTCCCTGACCAGGATCAAACCATGACCTCCTGGTTCATGGGTTGACATGGAACTACTGAACCATACCAGCCAGGCTCTTTTTGTTTTTTTTTTAAATTACATTTTTCCATATATATATATATATATATATATATATATATATATATATTATTGATTTCAGAGAGGAAGGGAGAGGGAGAGATTGGAACATCAATGATGAGAGAGACTCATTGATTGGCTGCCTCTTGCACGTCCCCCACTGAGGATCAAGCCCGAAACTCAGTCATGTGCCCTTGACCGGAATCAAACCCAGGACTCTTTAGTCCGCAGGCCAGCGCTCTATCCACTGAACCAAACCGGGTAGGGCTCTTTTTGGCTTTTGATAGCATAAAGCTCAACTAAAGTTTGCCCTCATTATTACATTAATTAGCACTGGGAGGCTTTAATTAAGTAAGAGTTACCTTTGGATTTTTCCATTCTAACAGCTGTCTGGCTACAATATATAGACCAGATTGAGGGAGAAATTTTGTTCCAGACAGTTAAGAGAGACTTTTGCAATAGTCCAGGTAAAAGACAGTGGGGTAGAGCAATGGGTAGAACGATGTGAGAAAGGTTGCGGGTTAGAATTAATTGGACTTGCTGGAGGTAGGGAGTGGGGAATAGGAAAGAACTGTGACGACTCCCAGGCTTCTAGATTAAGCCAAGTGAAATAGGGAACACTGAAGGAGCAGCAAGGTGGAGTGGGGGAATCATAGTTCAGCTTTAAGGTTGCCTTTGAGACGTCTTAGTGAGATGTCACCGAACGTATCAGTTGGCTGTACATGGTTGGAGCTCAGAGGAGAGTTCTGAGCTAAACATCAAACTGGGAGTTTTAAGCGTACGGGTCGTAAGTGAAGCCTTGAGAATGGATGAACTTAACTAAGGACACGGGCAGGCTGAGCCCTAAGGAAACCCTCCAGGACAGGAGGCACTGTCCACGCAGGCTGAGAAAGCGTGCGAGGAGGAGCAGAAACTCCACCAGGGGAGTGCGTGTATCCCAGAGGCTTGGAAGGGAGGGGTCAGTGAAGGAGCGGCCAGCGGAGCTGACCGTGCGGAGGACGAGCAGTACCGATGGCTGGGTTCCAGTCATAGGAAGTCAGGTTATCCAGTGGGGTTCCGATCTGTGCTGCATAAGCAGCGTAGTACCCCTCAGCATCATTTCTGATAGAGACTGCTATTGGTATAGTTAGATATTTGGCTTTATAACCATAAGTAGAATATCATTTAAAGAAATTTGAATGAAATACCAACTGTATTTTTCACTATTTGATCATTATACTCCAGGTTAAAACAATATAATTTTAAAAGATTTTTGAAGTTAACAATGAGAAATTTAATTTGTTTTATTAATGTAATTTTTTAGTCCTTGAATCAAACTTTTGTCAGTTCTTTAGGGCAGACCCCTTTTCAGTTTTGTTTGTTTTGTTTTGTTTAATATATATTTTTATTGATTTTAGAGAGGGAGGGAGAGGGATAGAGAGATAGAAACATCAACGATGAGACGCCCCCTACAGGGAATCAAGCCCGCAGCCCCGGGCATGTGCCCTTGGCTGGAATAGAACCTGGGACCCTTCAGTCCGCAGGCTGACGCTCTATCCACTGAGCCAAATGTCTAGGGCTCAGTTTTGTTTTTTAACAATATATTTTTATTGATTTCAGAGAGAGGGAGAAGGAGAGAGAGAGAGAGAGGGTAACATCAATAATGAGAGAGAATCATTGATCGGCTGCCTCCTTCACACCTCCTACTGGGAATGGAGCCTGCAACCCAGGCATGTGCCCTGACTGGGAATCGAACTGTGACCTCCTGATTCATAGGCTGATGCTCAACCACTGCGCCACATCGGCCAGACTCCTTTTCAATTTTTAATGGTAAGTAGTTTAAAGTTTTACAGCCCAAATCCAGCTCGGCCACTTACTAACAGACTTCTTTCTGAGTTTACTTCCTCTTTTTTCAAATGAGGATTCTATTTCCCAACTTTAAGCTTAACTTGAGCAATAAATAAAATAACTTGTGAAAGTCTTAGCATATCATCAGCATTCCATCAGTGGCAGCCATTGTCCCCTTATTTTTTGGACTGTGCTCAAACAGAAATCTATCTCCTTAAAATATTTTCATCTTAGTCTAAGTCTTCCCAAAAAAGGAGTTGACTCCATAGATCCCAGCAGTGATTTAGAATTTGCTCTCTCACAGACCGGACGAGCCTTTGCCGTTCGGAAACATCATGTATGACAGAAGGGTGATCCGAGGCAACACTTACGCTCTGCACACAGAACCGCAGGTGAGTAGAGCTCGAGAAAAGCTTCTCGCTGCATGTGGTGAAGAGCCGGTTTGTTTGCTTGCTTGTTTGTTTTCATTTCTAATCTGTTGCAGACTAAAACATGTATAAAATAAAATAAAAATGGATTACTAGAAAAACGAATAGTCCTATTAACTATGAAGGAAATTGAATTTCTAATTTAAAAGTTTCCCAAAAGAAATCTCCAGGCCCAGATGGTTTCACTGGAGAATTATACCAAACATGTAAAAAAGAATTTGCATCAATTCTACACAATCTCTTCTGGAAAATAAAAGAGGAGGGAATACTTCCCAACTCATTTTATGAGGCCAACATTGCCCTGATACCCAAATCAAAGATAGGAATAGGTAACCACCATGCTGTACACCTGAAACCAATGTAAAATAACACTGTCAGCCGTCATTGAAAAAGAAAAATAACCTTAGTGCTTTTCAGTTTCTTAACTGTATATTAAAATGTATTATACCTGGATGGTTATATCAGTACGAGAGGCCCAGTGCATGAAAATCCATGCACTGGATGTGGGGGGGGGGGGGCGTCCCTCAGCCTTGCCTGCCCCCTCTCACAGTCCAGGAGCCCTCAGGGGTGGGAGGCGACCTGGCAATCGGTAAGGCAACGCCCCCATCACACCTCTGTTGCTGCCAATACCAGCAGCACAAGCCTCAGCCGGCTCTGGTTACCTGAGCCTCGGGAGGCCCTGGGCGGATGGGGGGCTGAGGGAACTGGGGGACTCCAGAGGCAGGTGCGCGGAGCAGCCAGACCCACCTGGGGGTGGGCCCAGCTGTGCCGTGCACCTTCCACCCCAGCGAGGCTAAGGGAACTGGGCACCACCATCTTGTGGCTGTGGGCACCGCCATCTTTGAGGGTGTGGTGGTCAATTAGAATATTCCCTCTTTATTGGCTGTGGGCGCCACCATCTTGTGAGGGTGTGAGGGTCAATTAGCATATTCCCTCTTTATTAGATAGGATACTAGGTTACTAGGCATGAGAGGAAATCCTGCTAAAAATACTTGAATGAGGAAAAGGATTTATTGGATAAGATTCTGCACTATTTATTCCACTTCATAGTCGAACTTTCGAGTTGCTTTTGTGCTTTGTCAGACACCTTTATAGTCACCTGGCAGAGTGCAAGTGACATTTCCATCCCCAGGTCCCTGCTGCTCAGGAGCCGTGATGCGGGCGCTTTGCTTCTCCCCAGGAATCACTTTTGCAGTGCACTCTGTTTGCTTTGAGAAATAGTTTCTAAACTGTAGGCCCTTTTCCGTCACTCTCAGCGCGGGCAGGCCATCGACGAGCACGTTCAGAAGCTCCAGGAGACTAAGAAGAGGGCGGCCGCCAAAAAGCGAGCCCAGGAGCAGCTCCGACCGCGCACGCCGGAGCCCGTGGAGGGCAGGAAGCACGTGGACGTGCAGACAGGTGGGTGCCGGGCCGTGGCCGCTGGCGCCTTGGCTGCCAGTTTCCTGCCAGTTCTTGTTTGGCCTTCCTGTTAGTTAGGCATCTGTTATGCTCCCCAGTACTTCCCCAGTCACTTAGTAGAAGGCAATTCATTAAAAAAATTCCTAGGTTATGTATCATTATTATGTTGGCTACACATGGCAATGTGAGATTTTTTAAAAGAATTTTATGACCAGATTAATTCTCTCTTAGCCCTTTTACATATTTATTTTCAAACTGGGATTATTTCTCACTTTTTTTTTATAGTCCAGCATGAATCGCTGTTGGACTCACAGGAGAGGAGAGCGATGTAGTTCAGTTTGGGCATTTAATTTGTCTCGTGAGAGGGATAAGCCCTTTCAGCTCTGAGCCCTCCGCCTGTCACACGGCCTCGTCTGTCCTCCCCACCGTTCTATTCACTCACGCGCTCCCGGGCCGCGTGGCCTCCGCCGGCGAGCGCCAGGCCTTTCCTGCCGGGCTGACTATTCTTAGCTGGAGGGGCTTCCCGGACCGATGGGTCCAGCCATGTGGTTGACAGAATCTTGATAATCAGACAGTACTTGGTGCTTTCCATGGCGGCCACGTAACCACTCAAGGTGCCCCTTGCACCCGGCCACGATGGTGAGTGTGTTCATCAGAGCTGTTTCCGGGAAGTAAAGGCAAAAGGAGGAGAACCATTATGACATGCTTCTTCCCTACCCTGAGGCCAAGTCTAGAATGAATAAGTCTGTGATTGGCCCGTATAGTTGTCATTCTGTGAGAGATTCATTTTAACGTTTATCTATATCAGCAGCATATTAGGTGATACAGCAGTAGCCACCTTTTGTTGAGTATTTCCTATATCTCAGAGACTATACATGGGGCATAACACTTTTAAATATACAGGAATTTTCAAATCTTTATATGTTTATTATCTTAGGACTCAATTTTATAGGATTATTAGCTTTCCATCTCATATTATACTTTGCATCTTATATACATCTGTGGTGTTAGTTTCATTTTCAAATATAAAGCTCAGTGCTTTCTTGACATTCAGTATATTCTAGCCTGACTGACTCTCTGGTCTTCCAAATGTATAAAAATGCTTAGTACAACATGTGAATTGAGTACCCCACTTGAGCACTTTCTAAGACTTATTTTCTGATCCATTTAATTCTATTTTGAAGGAGCTGAAGTTTCAGATACAGATATATGCTTGAAATAGACCAGAATGTCAAACTCAATGTATATGGTATTCTCTTAGAATTATACCTTGAAGAAATTGCTGACCGCATAATAGAAGCTGATATGGAATGCCAGACAGATGCATTTTTGGACAAACCACCAACACCACTCTTTATTCCTGCCAAAACTGGCCAGGATGTGGCCACCCAAATCCTAGAAGGAGAGGTATAGTACGTTATTTGGACTTCCTTCTGTCTTCATTATAAATAGGTAAAGTTAGGCTTAGTTAAAATCTTAATAGGAATACCAACCACTGCACAATCAAAAAGATTCTACTCACTGAATTTCTTTCCAAATTTATCTCTGAAGTACCCAGAAATATTTTTAAATGCCATGTTCTGATTTCCCCTCTTTGCTGATCAGAGATAAAAATCATTAGCAATGTTTTTTGCTTTTATGTGTCTGCATTCTTGCTTAATGTATGAGTATAAGTAGACTTGTACCAAATAAGGAAAAATAATATCTCTGAGATAAAAGACTCTGTTAATTGCTTATAGATTATATAACTTTTATGAAGGTAATCTATGTCAAAAAGTTCTAAAATAATTACATTTTCATATCAATGTGGAATGTGTTCTGAAATGTAAGAAAAGAAGGCAATGCTTCTGTGCATAATGACTTAACTGAGGATTAAGACTTGAAGGAACTTGAAAGAACCGTCATTGAAATTTAGAAGTCAAATAAGTCTTCATAAGCTACATAGAAGAGTATATTTTGCCTTTAAATCCTAGAGATGAATCACCATCATGCCCATTATTCTTGTTCCTTGGTTTTTCAACTGTTATCAAAAGCAACCAGTAAAAATTTAGTAGAAAAGGCAGGGAATGAGAAAGAAAAGGATATTTCTCTTGGGATTTAGAGTCTGACCTTAAAATTGTTGAGTATCGGGGTTCATGTTGAAGACTGCATGGATCTTTTTGTAACTCTGACTTAATTTTGCCTGCAAACAGAATGCTCCTTTGTGTGCCTGCAGGGCTGTTGTGAGGACTGGGAGCCATAGACAAAGCCCGGCACAGGTCTGGCACACAGAGACGCTCATGCTGCCATTCTGGGTGTGTGTCATTGAGCATGTGGTTCATGATTGAAATGTGACGTTTGCTTTGTTCTGTGCATTGAAGCTCTTTGACTTTGACCTGGAAGTGAAACCGATGCTGGAAGTCCTGGTGGGAAAGACCATTGAGCAGGCGCTGCTGGAGGTGATGGAAGAGGAGGAGCTGGCCGACCTGCGGGCCACGCAGTACGCGTTTGAAGAGCTGCGCAACGTGGAGCTGGCGGAGGTCCAGAGGCTGGAAGAGCAAGAGCGGCGACACCGGGAGGAAAAAGTAGGCTCCGTGTGTGCCTGCAGGGCACAGTCCTGCTTAGGCTGTCCTTGGCTGTGAAACACGTGGTCTGTTCCAGCGGGAAGGTCTGCGGAAATGTGCCAGAAATGCGCGTAGTATTTGTTCAGGCGGCTCCTGTGTTCAGATCGTAGGTCCTTTGTGAGCTGAGTCCTGTTTTTAAATCCCAGCATGTGAAACCGCACCTGAATGGAGTACCAGCAATTCCGAGGTTATTTAAGTTACGTGTGTCCCAGTGCAAGGCACTCTTAACTAGCAGGAGCCCCAGTGAAAGAACAGACCAATTTGCCAAAAGTTAGTGGCAGGAGGTGTGGACGGAAAAGGGAAGTGTATCCGAATGGGGGGCGATAAGACACAGAGGATCTGTGTAGGGTTCTGGGTCTTTCTCAGCGGCTAGACCCTCTCATATCCTTAGGGATACCCCAGAACCACTTGGGTCCTTAGAGAACATCTTTAAAATTATAGGTTTTTACAGCCTTTCAGAAGGAAACCTTTAGAATCCAATTTTTAAAATATGCCCTAACCTCCAGCTAGGAAACACGAGGCTTGGTGTGTCTGGCTCACGCTGGGAGAATGAATGGTGACGGAGCCCTGGGACCCCTGGCACAGCCGGACAGCTTCCCAGAGCCCCTGACTGCGCAGGAAGGCTTAGCTGCTGGGATAGGCTACTGGGTGCCTCATCAAATGGACTTTCAGTTCCCTCCCAGTGGGAAGAGCATACGGCTTATGGTTAAGATGGTGCAAATGCTACGCTATTTGTTTACAAATATAAAATGAACACTGACAGTACCTACTAGCTGTTGAAATTCATTACCATCTTGATGGAAACTAGGAACCTTTAATAGACATCTTGCTGTCCGTTCTTTTGATACAAATATAAGTCCAAATTCCCCCTCGAACTCGCTTCAGGATTGGGGAGGTCGTGGCCGCCGAGTAACCATGAACGCATATTTGTCCTGCAGGAGCGCCGGAAGCAGCAGCAGTGGGAGGTGATGCACAAGCACAAGGAGACTTCGCAGAAGATCGCCGCCCGCGCCTTCTCACAGCGCTACCTGGCCGACCTGCTCCCCTCCGTGTTCGACAGCCTCAAGGAGGGCGGCTACTTTTTTGATCCGATTGAGAGAGGTTTGTGGAGGTTCCTGTTAGCTTAACCCTGTGACTGTCGGCGTCTTCTTCACAGTTCAGGTGTATCTCCTGCCCACTTTATTCCCAATGGGATTTCCTATCTCTGATGCAGATTTAAAAGTCAATTGTAGTTGTTTTAAGTAAAAGGTGTTACTAATCAGTGGATTATAAGGATCTCGATTTTAGGGTGCCGGTTTGCCATTACTCAGAAGCACATTGGATGGTGGGAAGAAGCACAGACTTGCTGTGACAAAGTTTGGGTCTGGGACCCAGCCTCACCCTTAAATAGCTTTATGACCGTTAGTTTTCTTACTGTGAAATGAGGGTTACTTAGGAGTTAAATGTCATAATCCACATGAAATTTTTGTAAGCTATAAAGCACTGTATATATAAGTTGTTGTTATTAACTTTTTCTCAGCTGACTTACTATTCTAATCAAAAACCCCTGGCCCAGCTTGTGTGCTCAGGGGTTGAATGTCAACCCAGGAGCCAGTTCTATTCTGGTCAAGGGCACATGCCTGGGTTGTGGGCTGGATCCCCAGTAGGGGGCATGCAAGAGGCAGCCGATCAATGATTCTCTCTCATCATTGATGTTTCTATCCCTCTCCCTTCCTGTCGCTGAATCAATAAAAATATATTTAAAAAATAAACTTTGCAAAAAAAAATAAAATAAAATAAACTTTTCAGGGCAGCAAGTAAGGTCACTTATTTATTGAGTTAGGTGCCGGCACATCCCAAGCACTGCATTAGGTATTGGAGATAAAAAGGCGACTGACTAATTATCCCAGGCACTGCATTAGGTATTGGAGATAAAAAGGCGACTGACTAATCGCTGCCTTGAAGACCCAAACTGCCAGCATCGCCGGAGCCCCTCCCCTCAGCTCATCTGGCCAATGGCGGTCAGGGCTGCCATTTCTCACTGCCACCCTCCTTCCTCGGGCTCAGAGGTGCTTAAATCCACAACGCTGCGTGCACGGGTGCTGTTTCAAATGGCCAGTAGTATTTGGGGCAGATGTTAGTAATGTGCAGGTTCACTGATTCTATATTCAGTTCAATGTGCAGAGGTCAGATTACACACAAATATTATTGGTTTACATTTATATTGTGCTTTCTAACTTATATAGTGTTTTTCATACGTGATGCCATGTGACCCTCCCAGTAACCCTGTGGGGTGGATAGGGCAGGTTAATTCCCATTAATTCCCATGGCCTTGCTCCCGACCACGCCCCCGGGAGGCGGGAGGCGGGAGGCTCAGACCGGCCAGACCCTCCACTGCAGGCCCAGAGTGCTCTCCACGCTGCCTGCCACTGCCTTGCTGGGTTTAGCATGAGGTTCTGAAAAAGTCCCTATAGGTCATTTAAAAGCTTGTACAGAGATTCATGCCTAGCTTGAAATTATTTATAGTAATGAATATAATATTCTATCACACTGTTGTCACCCAATTGAAAAATAAAAATTAGATGCCTACCCTCAAAAAAAACTATTTTTGAACATTAAAATGTATATTATAATGGAAGGCTTACATATTTTTGAAAGGCTTACATAGCCCTAGCTGGTTTGGCTCAGTGGATAGAGCATCAGCCTGCAGACTGAAGTATCCTGGGTTCGATTCTGGTCAAGGGCACATGCCCAGGTTGTGGGCTCCATCCCTAGTGGGGGGTGTGCAGGAGGCAACCGATCAGTGATTCTCATTATTGATGTTTCTATCTCTCTCTCCCTCTCCCTTCCTATCTGAAATCAACAAAAATATATTAAAAAAATAAAAACAAATAAAAGGCTTACACAGTAGTGGATTTCATTTTAGTTTGAACAGCTTTATCACTATGGCAACCCCCAGTTTATAGAGGCCCTTCTTCTCAGTTGCCCCTGAACTGTACTCTTCTGAGTCTTGATCAGTAGCCATTGGCCCAGGCTACGGTGGGGCGTGTTTTTCCAGGCATTGCTCAATCCCAGGTTGGCTCTGCATGTAGATTGCTCTTCTCCCCAGTCCACACCCCTCCCACCCCCACCTCCTTGCTCCATCTCAGATGCACCTGTAAAGCCAATTCTAAGGAAGGCCTCATAGTTTTGAAAATACTATTTCTACTCAATAGACAGGAAATGGGCCAGTACATATAGAGAGAATATGGCAAAACTAATGCTGTGTGAGTCTATTTAACATTTTGTATTAAGAAAACAATTTTGACAATATTGACATTGTAACCTTAAGGGAAAAGCAGATTCTTCCTATCTATAATGATTCATAAAAATGACTTAATGATTCCAATTAACTTTTTTATCGTAGATATTGAGCTCGGATTCCTTCCGTGGCTAATGAACGAAGTTGACAAAACCATGGAGCACAGCATGGTGGGAAGGACAGTGCTTGACAGTAAGTTATTTTATTTAAAAGTCATCTCAAATTTTTCAGTAGAAAGAATAATAGAAGAAAGATGCTAACTTTACAGTTAGTTTTACTTCTTAATTTTTCAGTACATCAGTTATATTAATTAACCAACATGCACATTTTTACCCTCAATATTATTTTTTATTCTTCTATACTTTAATCAGAATTCATCTCTTTTGTCGTTACTTTATGAGTGGTATCTTGTTAAAAAGGCATTGAGGGTAACTCATATTCGATTCATTAAGTGGCTCAGAAAGGAAGAGCACTGACTGTATAAAAGACTCTGACATGGGGAAGGGCCGAGGTCTGGTAAATATTTATGTGCATCCACACATCAGCATTATCACCACCAAAATACAAAAAATCACAGTGACTTCTGTACCTACAATTTTCAGTGTTGATTCGTGAAGTGGTTGAGAGGAGGCTGAACACGTATGAGCAAAAGGAGGACAAGCATCCGTTTCTGAAGCCCGAGGACGGGCCTGGTGGTCCTGGACCCATGAGAGACCCCACGACGGGTGATGAATTCCAGGAGCAGAGGTCGCTCCCAAGCACAGAGGCCCCCTATGAGAAGCTAATAGAGGAAGAGGAGGAGGAGGAAGATCCGATAGGACTGAGGAGATCCCTGGGGAGGGAAGAACAGTTTCAAGGCAGAGAATCCTGGGAGGGGTGAAACCAGCCTACAGCCAACCAGCATTGCAAGCAATCAGGTAATGAGGGGGGTCCCTCAGGCTATGCAAATTATGTGGAATTTAGTCAACGTGTCTTTTTCTCTAATGGACTGGGCAAATCGAATATGTTGAAATAAAACTAACAGTAAGTAAAGTTTAAATACTTCATTTATTTAATAGTAGAATATCAAGAATCTATAAACTAATGAGAATTATGCTTATATATAACTAACATATTTTTCCTTAATCTTTCTAATTTGTGGGTTTTGGGTCTTTTTAGTAAATATGATCTATAATGTTAGATATCAGAGATGTCAGCCATTGAGCTTCCCTTCTCTGTAGCAGCTATTTTCAGCTGGTATGCCGAGGCACACCAGTGGGCTGCAAGAATTTCTTTTTAATTAATTTCAGAGAGAGGGGAAGGGGAGAGGGAGAAACATCGATGTGAAGAAGAACCATCAATCGGTTGCCTCGTGTATATACTGGGACGGGGACTGAACCTGAAACCTAGGAAGTGCCCTGACCAGGAATCACACCTGCAGCCTTTTGGGTGTAGGGGACGATGCTCTAGTCAATGGAGCCACCGGCCAGGGCAGACCTTCAACTTTAGTACATATAAGTCTCATTAAAATATGGTCAGATATTATGAATTATGACTGTGCTATAGTATAGAGAATTCACATTTGACTTTTTATTTTTTTTTTATATATTTTTTATTAATTTTTTACAGAGAGGAAGGGAGAGAGATAGAGAGCCAGAAACATCGAAGAGAGAGAAACATCGATCAGCTGCCTCCTGCACATCTCCCACTGGGGATGTGCCCGCAACCCATGTACATGCCCTTGACCGGAATCGAACCTGGGACCCCCCAGTCCGCAAGCCGACGCTCTATCCACTGAGCCACACCGGTTTTGGCCACATTTGACTTTTTAATCTGAACTTGTTTGGAGAATTTAGTGGCACTATTGAAAATCAGATGTTTTATCTCTAAAGTCATGTTACTGTTTTTTGTTTGTTTTGGGGTTTTTTTTTGGTTTAATCCTCACTCAAAGATATTTTTCCACTGATTTTTAGAGAGAGTGGAAAGGAAAGGGAGAGACAGAGAGAAACATCGATGTGAGAGAGATACATCGATTGGTTGCCTCCTGCATGCACCCTGACCAGGGCCAAGAAACCTGCAACCAAGGTACGTGCCCTTGACCAGAATCGAACCCAGAACCCTTCAGTCTTCGGGCCGACGCTCTATCCACTGAGCCAAACCGGCTAGGGCTTATGTTACTCTTCAGCAGTCACTGAAGTCTTCTCAGGTTTTGGGTAGATGTAGCCTATTTCTCTCAGAATATGTATAGATATATAAGCTGTAGTGGTTTGAAATAACTTGCAGTTATTGACACACTTACCTCAATTTCTTCTTAAATTAGGTACCAAAAACATGTCCATATTTTAACAATGGAGAGGAATATCTTTCTCCAGCTATAAAAAGGACTTGCACTGTATGACTATGTAGCATTATGTGGTTCTCCAAGCGTCTTCCCACCCATCGCTGTATCAGTGACACCTCATAGCACCCCTTCTGAAAGTGTGAGTGACAGTGTCTGCTTGTCAGCCTCAGTCATTCGTTCGTTACCAGCGAACACTCCCGAGTGCCTGCTGTGTGCCCGGCGCCATGTAGCCGCGGAGATACATGGAACGGCTGCGAGTAAGGACACCGCAGCCGGGGACTTACAGGGACAAGCCTACCGAGTGATGGGATGGAAGCTGGGACCCAAGCCTTCTTTCTTCTCATCTAGTGGGCTTTCCGCTAAACCAGCGGTTCTCAACCTGTGGGTCGCCACCCCTTTGGGGGTCAAACAACCCTTTCACAGGGGTCGCCTAAGACCATCGGAAAACACATATATAATTACACATTGTTCTTGTGATTAATCACTATGCTTTAATTATGTTCAGTTTGTAACAATGAAATTGGGGGTCACCACAACATGAGGAACTGTATTAAGGGGTCGTGGCATTAGGAAGGTGGAGAACTGCTGCCTAAACAACCTTGAGTCCTTGTGGGTTACAAAGAATAACGTTGAATAAATTATTGTATTAACAGCATTTTTAAAATTGGAATTGCACCTGTTATCCATTGCTGGGTTAGCAGTCTTCATAATCATGCTCAAATTTGTAGGATTGATTTTGGCAAGAAGACCTAAACATTTTAAAATTAGGGTTGTTGCTGATCATTATTATTATTATTACTATTGACTTTAAAATACCTATAATCTTAAGAATGCTTTCAGAATGGAGCTGAGATGATCTTTTACAAATTCTAACCCTTTTTTACAATAACCCAGTCCACTAAGCACTTCTCAGGTGCTTTGCTAAAACATTCAGGCTTGTGCTCTATAATTCCATAAGTTAACTCAGTTTATTAAAATATACAGAAATCTTCCCTAGCCAGTTTTAGTCGGTGGTTAGAGAATCGGCCTGCTGACCAAAGGTTTGATTGCCAGTCAAGGGCATGTACTTGGGTTGCAGGATCGATCCCCGGCCCTTGCTGGGGTGCATGCAGGGGGCAACCGTCAGTGGCTCTCTCTCATATCGATGTTTCTCTCTCTCTCCCCCCCTCCTCCCTCCGCTCCACACTCTCTGAAGAGATCAATGGAAAAAATATCCTCAGGTGAGGATTAAAATATATATGTGTGTGTATATATATATGGAGAGAGAGAGAGAGAAAGAGAGAAAGAGAGAGAGACAAAAGTAATTGAGATGTTAGTGCATTGTCCCTGTGGGAAAAAAAAAAAACAGAGAAATATGTTATATATTATCTAGAGAAAAAATATTGAATGGAAACTTTAAATTTTCTCAAAGTTTATGAAGAATTTCTTCAAACACATGAACTATTTAGTGATAAATCATAAGGCAATATGCTTAGGTTCCATATGTCTAGCTTTTTGTAACTGTAAGCAACTCTGCAAATGGATTAAATGCATAAAAATCTTCAAATTCACATTGACTTTGCCCATGTTTGCTAATACCCTTCTTATGAGTTCTATTCCTTTCTGTTGTTTCAACTAACACTAAGCTAACAGAAGCTAAATAGTAATAAAATGGGTGGTCTGTAATCCATTTATAGAGATTGTTATCCCTGACATAACTTCTCATATCACTAAAACAGATCAGTGCGGTAGAAGTAATTTCTCTAGTGTGGGTAAGCATCATGACTCGCGTCTGTATTCCATAGCTCAGTAGTCATAGCCATTTACTCAGTTTATTTGGGATGAAGGCATTCTGAAAGGCTCCACATGGATTAATTGCCCCATAGACCAATTAGCACCTATTGTTTCTTGGTCATAGTTCCTAAGTCTGATCAGAACCAACCTTTACAAGCTTGTTCACAGTCAGGAATATAAACAAGAAGGTTACAAATAGTGTGTCACTGTCACTAAAAAGTATTCCTAATGGTATTAGATTGGTATCTATAATTCTCACTTTGAATTCGGGCATATTTACCTTTGTGTTTTAGTGATTGCAGTTACCTTACAAATTAAAATTTAATAAATTGATAGTTTAAATGATATTTTTTTATTTTTCATAATCATGAAAATTCTTTAACTGAAATATATGAGTTAAAAGATACAGTACTGGTATTGTAAGTTATTTATAAATAAAATCAATCAAGATACTTACAAGTTTGACATTTTAGGATAAAGGTATCTTAAAGATAACATTGAAGCAATTTTCAATCCATTCGGAAATAGAGTGTAAAACACAGTATGGCTCAGTTGGATGGGTGTTGTTCCATGCACCAAAAGGTTGCAGGTTCGATTCCTGGTCAGGGCACATGCCCAGACTGCAGTTCAATCCCTGGTATGGAAACTTGATATTTCTCTCTCTCCCTATCCCTTCCTCTCTCTAAAAAAAATCAATCAAAAATATTTTTTAAAAACATGAATATATTTTTATCACTAGTACACTTACAATTTTTATAAATACTGAATAGTTTTATTTTTCTAGTAGTTGTATATATTATCATCTAAGATTTTATATTATCCTAGAGGCCCGGTGCACGGATTCGTGCACATTGAAAGGAAATTAATTAGAAGGTGGCCAGCGGGGTGGGACTGGGCGAGACAGGCCGGACACGCCCTGGAGCCAACCTCCCATGGTCCCTCCCCGGCCGGCCCCACCTGGGGCAGTGCCAGGGCTTGAAGGGCATCTGCGGAGTGAGCAGGGCCCCTCCTGCAGGTGGGGTCCCTCCGCCTGCCTGCAGGGATCCGGCCGAAATCAGCAGTCCTACATCTCCCGAGAGGTTCCCAAGGGCATTTTGCAAAGTTGCTGTTGCTCAGCAGCTCCTACATTGAGCGTCTGCCCCCTGGTGGTCAGTGTGCGTCATACCCACTGGTGCATCATACCCAATCTATCTTATATATATAGATTGACATCCATATTTACCACTAGGTGTCAGTAAAATCCTAAAGTAAAATTAACTTGCCTCCAACTTCATACATAATTTAATAACCATAAAGAGACCTTAGTAGACAGAGTTCAAAAATAGATTGTATTCCTTAGAGTCTCTAGATTCACATGGAATATCTTTTGTTAAATATCATTTTTTATTTTCAATTACAGTGGACATACATCATGATATTAGTTTCAGGTGTACACCCCAGTCCATTACATAACTTATAAGTGATCATCCCAATCAACCTCGCATCCACCTGACACCATATGTCGTTATTGGAATATTATTGACGGTATTCCTCTGCTGTGCTTTACATCCCCATGATTATTCTGTAACAGCCGTTCACTGTTTTGCTCACCTCCTCACCCCCGCCACCTGGCCGCCTTCAAATGTTTTTGTATCCGTGAGTCTGTTTCTGCTCTGCTTGTTCATTTATTTTGTTTTTAGGTTCAGTTGTTGATACATACGTATTTATTGCCCTTTTATTGCTCATTTTTTTATTTTTTCAGAAGAAGCACTGAATGCCTTATCTTGCCCTAAAGCCATCTGCCAGCTCTGTAGGGATGTTAGTGGGGGGTGTGCAGGAGGCAGCCGATTGATGATTCTCTCTCATCATTGATGTTTCTATCTCTCCCTCTCATTAAAAAAAAAAAAAAATCAACATCTTCAGAGCTTGGAAATTAACCAAAGATTTGCAACAATGAAGAGCACTCATTCAAGAAAAATGGCTAAAAATCAGTAAGAACAGTAAGTTCTGTGGCATTTTAACTTGCCCTCATTCTTCCCAGCTCTATGTTAGCTTTGAAAACCAACAGACTCAGAACTATTGTCACTGAGGAAACCAGCGGCCTGGAGGAAGCAAACAGGCTTAGGTCTCCCCCAAAAGCCACATTCCTAGAAATTTGTCACTATTTGACCTGTCTGGCAGCTCCCTGGAAAAGTGCATTTACAGGCTTATCTTTATTTGACCTGACTCAGCGCTTGCTCAGTGAGGAAAGTTTTAACACTAGAGCATTTATAAAATTAATAAATAAGTAAAAAACAGCTTTTTTATCCCAGAGCTGGAGAACCAAGATGGCGGCATAGGTTAACGCCGGAGTTTGCTGCTTTGAACAACTACTTCAAAAGTGAAACCAAAAAACGGAAGGGACATCACCCAGAACCACCGGAACGCTGGCTGAGTGGAAGTCCTACAACTAGGAGGAAAGAGAAACGCATACGGACACTCAGAGGAGGCGCAGTGCTGAAGTCAAATTCTGAGGTGCGGAGTGCGCGGAGCGGGCTGGCGGCGGAGGGCGCGGTTGGCGTTTTCAATCGGGAGGGAGTCGCAGAATCTGAGCTCCAGATCCGGGAGAGTCTTTAGGGACCCAGACTCAAACGGGAGAAGCGGGACTGTCTGGCTTCGGTCAGAGCGAGTGCAACTTTCTCTCTGAGCTTTGCAGCGGGTGCTGGGACTCAGAGAGGCAGAGCCCCTGGGGACAGGACTGAGAGCCGCCATAACTGCTCTCTCCGGCCCACCCTGTTGATCCTGTGCGACCCGCCCCGCCCAAGCCCTGCACACAGGCATTTGCCTGATAGCCTCAGGCAAAGGCTAGATTAGCACCTCCCTAGAGGACAGAAGTTCTCTCACTGCTGATACAGCTGATTCTCATAGCCACTTGGCCTGGAGGTCAAACCCTCCCTGGAATTAGCTACAACAATCAAGATTTAACTATAAGACTGCGAACAAAGACCACTAGGGGGTGCACCAAGGAAGCATAACAAAATGCGGAGACAAAGAAACAGGACAAAATTGTCAATGGAAGATATAGAGTTCAGAACCACACTTTTAAGGTCTCTCAAGAACTGTTTAGAAGCCGCCGATAAACTTAATGAGATCTACAAGAAAACTAATAAGACCCTCGATCTTATATTGGGGAACCAACTAGAAATTAAGCATACACGGACTGAAATAACGAATATTATACAGACTCCCGACAGCAGACCAGAGGAGCGCAAGAATCAAGTCAATGATTTGAAATGCGAGGAAGCAAAAAACACCCAACCGGAAAAGCAAAATGAAAAAAGAATCCAAAAATGCGAGGATAGTGTAAGGAGCCTCTGGGACAGCTTCAAGCGTACCAACATCAGAATTATAGGGGTGCCAGAAGATGAGAGAGAGCAAGATATTGAAAACCTATTTGAAGAAATAATGACAGAAAACTTCCCCCACCTGGTGAAAGAAATGGACTTACAGGTCCAAGAAGCGCGGAGAACCCCAAACAAAAGGAATCCAAAGAGGACCACACCAAGACACATCATAATTAAAATGCCAAGAGCAAAAGATAAAGAGAGAATCTTAAAAACAGCAAGAGAAAGAAACTCAGTTACCTACAAGGGAATACCCATACGACTGTCAGCTGATTTCTCAACAGAAACTTTGCAGGCCAGAAGGAAGTGGCAAGAAATATTCAAAGTGATGAATACCAAGAACCTACAACCAAGATTACTTTATCCAGCAAAGCTATCATTCAGAATTGAAGGTCAGATAAAGAGCTTCACAGATAAGGAAAAGCTAAAGGAGTTCATCACCACCAAACCAGGATTATATGAAATGCTGAAAGGTATCCTTTAAGAAGAGGAAGAGGAAGAAAAAGGTAAAGATACAAATTATGAACAACAAATATGCATCTATCAACAAGTGAATCTAAGAATCAAGTGAATAAATAATCTGATGAACAGAATGAACTGTTGATTATAATAGAATCAGGGACATAGAAAGGGAATGGACTGACTATTCCTGGGGGGGAAAGGGGTGTGGGAGATGCGGGAAGAGACTGGACAAAAATCGTGCACCTATGGATGAGGACAGTGGGTGGGGAGTGAGGGCGGAGGGTGGGGCGGGAACTGGGAGGAGGGGAGTTATGGGGGGAAAAAAAAGAGGAACAAATGTAATAATCTGAACAATAAAGATTTAATTAAAAAAAAAAAAAAAAAATAAGTAAAAAACAACCAGCAGCACTTGTTTAATAGCACAGCTGCCTGAGGCAGAAATACCAGTTGGAACAAACAAGAGGCTGGCCGCAAACCTTGAAAGAGAGATTTGGGAATTAGATGCTCATCGGGCGCTTTGAAGAGCTTCAC